TATTCTTTGCCTTTAAAGTCTAAAGAGAATCACCTTCAGCAAGCCTCTGCAAAGCAATTAACAGGCATCAAGCAGCTTTCCTGAAACCCTTAAAGCACCCTCCAGCTTCTGTCTGGAGTGTTCATTCAACGAGAGCTCCTATATAGAGGAGAAAGAAGAGAAGACGTCATGTGATGGTGGATCAAGCATGCACATCTGAGTGTTCTCTAATGTCTACAGCCAGATCTAATTTGCATGACATACACACAGCTATCAATGGCTGAGGCTTCTCAGTGGGCATGGTGGTCAGATAGGTTAGAATGTTGGAATGAGAGTGCAGAGCACATGCATGGGCTCCACCAGAAAGATATTAATAAGTAGCTGTGTGATATAGTCCGTGATATCATTGGATCAGGGAGAGGCAAGTATAAGATTGGGAGGGGGGTGGGGGAAGGGAGGACTATTAGTCCCCTTTCACACGGGCTGATCAGGAGAGGATCTGTGCATGGATCCTCTCCTAATTAGAGCAGTACGGAGCGGATGTCTCAGCGGTGACATCTGTGTCTGTACAGTTTTTTCCTCCATCTTACGATGGAGGAAAAAAATGCTTTTACCGGACCCCATGTCGGTCTATTATGGAATCTGATGTAAACAGACATGTGACCATTTACTTCAGATTACCGCCAATCCGGCACAATCAGGTCCAATGAAACGGATCGCTGATCCATTTGCTTTTCCGGACCTAGTCAGGGGTAACTGGGTGTAAACGGAGACCCATCCGTTTACACACGGCTGCCCATTGGCTTACAATGGGCATCTGATCGGGTCCGCCTAAAAAACTGAGAGGCGGACACAATTGGACCAGCCATGTAAAAAGGGCCTTAAAGGAGAACTATGGCGGTATGTCTGGATCCGCCCAGCTGCGTGAGTGACAGCTGGCTCTGCCTATCTAGAGGCAGAGCCAGCTGTACCCGCCCCCTCCCCCGTCCGATCTGCCAGTCAGCGCTGGAGGATCGGAGTGGGAAGGGGGAATCCAGCCCTTCCCCTGTCACGGCAGAGAGCTGTGACAGGATCGAGAGGTGAGCGAACGCCGGTATGTGTTCGCTCACTTCCCGATCTACTGAGCCGACCTGTGACAATCTCATTGTCACAGGTCGGCTAGAACTATGAGGTGAGTGAAAAGCACTCACCTCATAGTTCTCCTTTAAGGACCCAACCACAGACACCCGAGAACAGTTGGATTGTGCCTGACTACCCTTTATGGCCAGCTTTTACTCTTTCTGTCGCATGCTTTGTAAAGGATTGTAAAAAGTGAATGAGATCCCTTTATATAGGAATAATCATATGGGCAAACCCAATGCTCAGACCCCATCACCAAGAGGACCCAGTACAAGAACAATTGTTGTGCCCCATTTGATTACTGTCCAAGCACAAAACTGTATAGGTAAGTAGCCTTTGCGATATAATGAACATTCTTCTGTTCCATAGGATGGAGCTGAGGTCAGACGGTGATCAGCCCCTCTATTTCCAGTTCATATGGTGCAAAGAGAAAATGGGAGATGCATTTGTCATGTGTCAGTAGTGGTCACGCAGGAAGTAATGGAGGTGCTCACTGAGCATGCAAACGCACTGGACCGCACCTCAAAGAGCACATTTTAAGCACACAAAAAAAGTTACGAAACGCAGCAAAATCGCGGTAAAAACGTAGCAAACTGCAATGCACCACGTTCCAGATCTGGTTCAGATCTGGTCCCGGAAATGGTGGAAATTCATGTATGAATGGAGCCTAAGAGCGGACATCAGGATCAGCGCCCAGGGACAAGCTTTCTCTGCATGGAAAGGAAGAGGTTATACAAAAAGCTGTAAATCATTTTAATAACATTTGAAATAATTTATAAACTTGTCATGTAATTTAATATCACTGTAAAAAAAACAAAAAACCTGATTAGCCCATTCGTTCCCTCTCGCTACCTGGCAAAATTGCCAGCTGCCTGTAAAGCAAAGCAAAGTGTTATAGCATGCAAGCAGTGTGAATGGACCCTAAGGCTGCATTCACACCGGGCATTTTTCTGCATTTGGTGATTCCGGTGGCAAGAAACTATAGATACTTGCCGCAGGAATCGCAGGTAACCCTGCTCAGATGCAGCCACTGTTCCCATTCAAGTTAACGACAGGGTGACAGCGGCTGCATCTGTCAGCAGCAGTCCACATGCAATCATACATGGAACAATTACATACTGTATTTTTCCGTGTATAAGACTATACTTTTTCATAAAAATATTTACCTAAAAATGCAGGGGCGTCTTATACACGGGGGGCCGAGAGGAGAACCGCGGCTGCGAAACTACCGATACTTCTGCAAACTAGCCTCACGAGTGAAACTTCCGATTGCAGAGACAAGCTAACAGGTTTCCTCCAATCAAGAGCCTTATGTACCCGACGTCAGCTGATGCTGCGGAGAGCCTGTAGCCAGTGCTAACACTGGGGAGCGGTAATGTCGTAGCATTCTGAGCCCATAAAATGTCAGAAAACAAAAAAAATCCCGGTAAATACCAATGCCAGGAAGCGGCTGTCTTACTCTGCAAAATTTAAACTGGATGTAATCAGTTATGCAAAAGAGCAGGGAAAATATTGATTTCTGAATTTTGGGTAAGAAAAGTGGGGGGCGTCCTATACATGGGAGCGTCTTATAGACGGAAAAATACGGTAATTGATAGATTGATTGCCAGGGCAGTGGCATCACAAGGGGGGTGTGGCCCGCACCGGGTCACCCTCTCTGAAAAGTTAGGCACTCGGTCATGGCACGAGAGCTGCATGAGAGATAAGGGGACCTGGCGGCATACCTTATCCTGCCAAATGAACACACACACACACCCCCTCTTTGCTAGCGTCCATCATCAAGGCAATTAAGTGTGAGTGCCATCATTACACACGTGCGTGATAACACCATAGCGGGTGACACCCAGTCTGGGGACGCCTCTGATCTAGGGACAATCATCTGATCTGAACCGCAGATAATGATACCATGTATAATCACATGTGGACTGCCACCAACCAATGCGACCGCCGTCACCCTGTCATTAACTTGATCCCTTCAACCTGTAGGTTCTTGCACGTAATGGTACCATGTATAATCACATGTGGACTGCCGCCAACCGATGCAGCCGCTGTCACCCTGTCATTAACTCGATCCCTTCAATCTGTAGGTTCTTGCAGGTAATGGTACCATGTATAATCACCTGTGGACTGCCGCCAACCAATGTGGCCGCTGTCACCCTGCCATTAACTCGATCCCTTGAATCTGTAGGTTCTTGCAGGTTATGGTACCATGTATAATCACATGTGGACTGCCACCAACCGATGCGGCCGTTGTCACGGTCATTAACTTGATCACTTCAATCTGTAGGTTCTTGCAGGTAATGGTACCATGTATTATCACATGTGGACAGCCGCCAACCGATGTGGCCGCTGTCACCCTATCATTAACTTGATCCCTTGAATCTGTAAGCTCTTGCCAGAAGGCAGAGATATACTCCGTATAAATGGGGCTTTAGCTATTACAAACCTGCAGCATGAATACGGCATCATGATGAATGCCTCCTCCTTGTGAAGAGAGAAATGTTCAGCTTCATCTAAAAGTGGGAGGGAGTCCCATCAGCCAACCATCCCCCATCTAGTATAACTGGGTCGCCTTTCATCCACTTCCTGCTGAATCAGCCAAAATTCGAGCTATGGATAGCCCTTCAAGCACCACCCGGCTCAACAAAAGTCAATTCAATAATCAGCAGAGCCGGGTGGAAAATGAACGGTGACTGCGTCCTATCAGATGTTTTAACGCAGGTGAATACAATAACCGGCAGTGGTGCCGATTAGGCTACATTCACACCTAGGCATCAGCGTTGTCGCTCATGTGTACACGTGTTTTTGCTGCACTTTTTTTACGTGTACATTAAGTTGCGCGTTTTTGCGAGCAGATTGTGACGCATTGATGTAAATCGACACATGTGTGTAAAACTCGTGCAAACATAATTGTTTTGCACGTTTCCTTATGACTCTATGGGAACAAAACGCGCAGTGATCTGCCAAAAAGAAGCTCATGTACTTTTTCCAGCGACAGGCGTATTACAAACAACCACAATTGCAGCTTGTGAGAAAACGCTCATGTGTGAACGTGGGCCGCAGGAATTAATGGGATTTCTTGTTTTATCTGCGTTTAAGTGCGCAACAAGGATGTATGGAGAAACCCTTTTAGATTGTAGATTGTAAGCTCTCACGGGCAGGGCCCTACTTACCATCTCGTCTTCAATTGTATTGTAATGTCTTCCTTATATTGTAAAGCGCTGCACAAACTGTTGGCGCTATATAAATCCTGTATAATAATAATTAACCACCAGCACATACAGAATCTGAAGACGTCACGAATTGCGTTTCGAAATGTATTGTCAAATACAGCCAACGTTTCGGGGCCACACCGCTAGCCTTCCTCAAGGCCACATAGTGGTCTGTGAGCGCTGGCGATTTCCCCATACATCCTTGAGAACACACGACACCATCCGTGGCATCACTCCGAGCACCGCATCTCCTATATGGTCCGTATACACTGTATGGGGGGCAGTTGATACATCCTAATGCTATATGCGCAACAAAACGCCTAGGTGGCATTAGCGTGGACGTGGCAATCGACGAGTCGGTGGGCTGAACGAGAGACATTGAGCCGTGTATGGCCAGATTTATAGATCACCTTACCAGCATTTACCTAGAAATGATTTTTTCTGGATCCCCTAATCATTTGATTGGGTCACATGTTTATGTGGGGAGAATATTGGGGAGTTCAGATGTGAAATGTACAAAGTATGAATCCTGTTTTCACAGATCTATAGCAGTTTGTGATGAATCCCCCCAGCTGTAGGCTGCCATGATCCGGGGATCACACACTTTACAGAACACTGTGTATCGTCTTGCAACCTCTTCAGATCTCCCCTTCCATTTAAATCCCCCTCCCCCTCCCCCTCCTCCTCTACTAGGGAGTGCGGCTGGCTGGCTGTGTGCATTGTGTGAATGGAGGTGGCTGATCGCAGTGCCAGGAAATCGGCCCACCGTGCACTTTATTAGCGGGGAGGCAGGTTGGGCTCGCAGTCATTCCTTGTTGTGTTTGGGGTGGGGGAAGGATATTACATCTGGTCACCCATCTCCTCCTCCCTCTCTCTCTGTGGCTTGGTGCAGCCTTGTGTGTGTGTGTCTGTGATCTCGCTATGTCGGATGACGATTCCAGGGCCAGCACCAGCTCCACTTCATCTACCTCTTCCAGCCAGCAGATAGACCGGGACCTGGGCAACAACCACAGCACCAAGAAGAAGGAGAGCAAAGTCAGCATGAGCAAGAACTCCAAACTCCTGTCCACCAGCGCCAAGAGGTAATGGGGGGCTGAGTGTGCTTTGTTTGCTAGGTGTCTTACCGGGACAACAAAGGGCTGAGGAAGAAGGGGGCTGTCCCTTTAAGTCTGGCCCGGCGTTCCAGCCGACCCCTCCATATTTGGACTGGGTTAACCCTTTCTCTCCCCGGCTCTGTGTGGCAACGAAAGGGTGGCGCGACTCGAGACCTTATTTGCATGCTAGGGCGCCGCCCACAGCTTCTCATTTGCATGTTAGCTTTTCGGGGTCCCCGTGGGGGGAGAGGGGGGTGATCACGTGGTAGGGGAGGCCGATAAGCACGGGCTCTCTGAGAGGGCCCAGACAGGAAGGTGTATGAACGGTAACGGCGGCCATGTTGTGCCCCCTCAGGTGTCTCGGTGCGGCTGACGGCAATGGGGAGAGGGAAGAGCCTCGGTGTGGTACTGAAGAGCTAATGTGTGAGAGAGGGGACAGTCCCGGTGTGGTGCTGAAGGGACAACATGGGGGAGAGAAGAGTCCCTATGTAATGCCGAGGTGAGAATGTTGGGCAGCAGGTAGAGCTCATAGGGGCGGGGTGGGGCAACGCAGGTAAGAGGAAAGAGCCCATATGTGGTGCTGAGTGGACATAGGGGCCCCAGTAGGATGCAGGGGGAACACAGTGGGGGAGGAGGCAGAGCCTCTGTGTGGTGTGCAGAGGGGACACATTGGGGGAGGGGGAAGAGCCACCTGTGTGGCGCTGAGGGGACACTGGAGGGGGAAGATTCCACCCCCGTGTGGCGTTGAGGGGACACGGCACAGGGAGAAGAGCCCCCGTGTGACGCTGAGGGGACAGCATGTCATAGAGTAATCTAGGCAACCTTATTAACCATCACACCTCGGGGTGTCCTGTGTACAAGGCCCGACACACACACCAGTTGGGTTAAAATATGTGTCATGATTGTGCCAGTTCTACTTCCCGCTGCTCCTGCCATACACCTTTTGTGTACACACGTGTGGTGATGGATTGGTCTGGTGCATTCATCGTCTTTTCTAACCAAACGCTGGTTGGAAATGGTGGCATTTGGCAGGGCCCCGTGTGTAAAAGGATGGCTCAGCTCACATTGATGTCTGTGGGAGGGTGACCCTGCTGGCAGAGTACACTCCTCTATACTCCCCTTTTGTATCATGTTGGCCATAGGGTAACACACAACATTAGACCTGTGGCGAACTGCAGCATGCCCTCCCATTGCTTCCACCAATGGACAGGCCACCACTGGCAGGAAAATGCTGGTCAGGGTATGGCACGCAGCTCTGGCACAAAGAAAAGCCTACATATGTCAGATCCAGCCATCTTCATCTCACACCCTGGTTTCTGAACGGTTGTCATACAATCTCCAGCACGATGACGCCACTAACAGAAAAATCACATTTTATTTTATCTATAAAGAATTATTTATATACTTGTAACGTGCTTTTGAACTAGTTAAGGAAATTGACCAATCTAGAACAAGTCAATTACCTGACAATTCCATAGTCACTCCTGCCATATTATAGCACTCTCCTCATCTGCGTGTGTCATTTACTGCCTGCGCTGCCCCAGCTCCTCTCCTCCCTAATGTAAACATTTTATATAGCTGCTTTGGGGAGCAAAGGGGACACTTATGCAGGGATAGGCAAACTCTGGCCCTCCAGCTGTGGTTTAACTACAAATCGCATCATATATTTGCCTCATGGAGTCATTCTCGTGACTGCCAGCCGAATGTGATTTGTAGCTGCACCATAGCTGGAGGGCCGGAGTTTGCCTAGAGCACATGTGTCAAACTCAAGGCCCAGGGGCCGAATCCGGCCCACCGGGCCATTTTCCTAGGTATTAAGTTATTACTAAAACCAGTGATAATCGAATGCAGAGGCAATTATGATAAAGATTAGATACATTTATATAGTCTTACAGGCCCTTTGAGGGCAACCATAATGTTGATGCGGCCCACGATTAAATTGAGTTTGACACCCCAGGCCTAGAGAGTCTGCTGAGGATGTTACCATCGCATCCAAGATGGTGGTGCCCAGCAGCAGTCTCCAGGCTTTAAGATGTCCACACAAGGGAGGCTTTTACAGGTGAATAACATGCATGAAATACATCATCTCTTCTAGGACAGTTGTGGAAATGGATGGTCTTGTGACGAGGTCTCTTCAGAGTAGATCTGAACACGGTCACTAAAATATCATCTCAGTTTTTACATGAAAAAGAGTAAACCGTATTTAAAGTGACACTAAACTCAGGAGTTACAGTTTAAAAGTACATTAAGTACCCCAACTATTAACAAAAATGTACCTTATTGGTGTATCACTCGGCTGTAGATCCTCAAATCATCTCTGAATTGGTGCCGACACTGTCCTTCCTTCTGGAGGGTGGCTACTTTTGTTCCCCATGGTCCCTGGGTGTGTTGTAAAGTAGCCCCCACTCCAAGCTCACTTCCGTGATGGACTACAATCTCATGTTTTAGTTTACTCATTTGTATTGAGATTGTAGTCCATCCCGGGAGTGAACTTGTAGTGGTGGCTACTTTACAACACACCCAGGGACCATGGGGAACAAAAGTAGCCACCCTCCAGAAGGAAGGACAGTGTCGGCACCAATTCAGAGATGATTTGAGGATCTACAGCCGAGTGATACACAAATAAGAGACATTTTTGTTCCCGTACCAAAAAAGCATCCCAATGTATCCCTGTGGTATTCTGGGCTCTGTTCACATCGGTGCTGTCCGTTCCGGTCGAGACAAAAAAAAATAGTGCTGGTCTCATTTCCTCTGGTCTGGTCTGCACCTGAAAGCCCATTTTAAGCGTTAAAAAAAATGGTAAAAATCTACTGCGTTTGCTGATCTGCTGTAGATCTGGTCCGGACATGGTGTGAGCATAGCCGTAATGTAACAAGAAAACCTGGCAATTGTTTCTGATATGTGGCTTCCCTAAATGTCTTCCAGGTGGGGTTTCCATCTCCTTCACCTTGTCCGCTGTCATGTGCAGTAATAGAAGCTGTCACATGTAGTGTATAGTCAGCATTGCCGGCCTGCCATGGAATGGTGGTGTCTCTTTTGCTGTGTGGTGATAGCACGGTGTAGGATTGCCATGCAGATAATGATCCCGAGTGAAAAAACTTTCAAATCATGAGAAGATCATGTCGCATTTGTATAATTGCCACCCAGGCTACAATTTTTTCCTGCTCATATAATGTGTTTTTACTTTCACACGAGCCACCAAATGCAGGAGGTTTTCTGGGGAGCATAAACAGATCGGGCTCTCCTGCGTTTAGATGTTAATGGACTTAGCTGCGTTCAGAGTATCTCATCTGACTCGGAACACACAGAATTCTTATTTTTTCAATATGCAGCTATAGATGGGCAAAAGAACACTGTGATGTATACCATTTACAATGATCACAAGTATGTATATGCTTCAAAACTGATCTATAAACGCATGTATGGCACTGCCAGTGTTTTATACAGTTCAAACTATTATTACAGAATTTAAATTTTTGTGTTAAACTTCTATACTACATACTGTCTATACCCAAAGGGGAAAGAAGTCCATCACGCAGTACCTTCCAGGGCTGCCAGACACACAAGTATATCCTGTTGCCAGCAAGGTCCATGATTGTTCTTGGTGAAGACTTGACTTGGCCAAGTGTTCATGTTTATGACGGGGAGGGAGGCACAGGACAAGGCTTTCTGTCTTCTCACTATGTACACCAAGTATTGTTGGGTCTGCGACAGAGCCCAGAAGCCACGTAGCCAATGCTCCTAAAAAAACAAAAATTACAACTGGCTTTAAAATTTGGAGAGTTTCTATAGTTGTTGTCAATGAAGCTGACTGCTTTAAAAAAAAAAAAAAATCCTTCTGGTTCTGGGATTGGACAGACTGGCTCCTTAATTCCATATCACTTTGTGTGTGTATATATGTATGTATATATGTAAGTGTTCTATTCTGTTTTGGGCAGCCCAGTGACCTGTTAATCAGGATAGAAGTACTCATTGGGAAGTGATCCATCCAATAAAAAATGCTTTGTTCACCCACCTTGTAGCTGGCTGGATTTCCAGAGCAAAGAGATTACTGCAAATTGCGATTGGCCCAGTATTGAAAGCTGAGTACTGATTGGTCAGGACTTGTTCACACCAAGCGCGTTCCAGGAGCAGAGCAGTTATAGACTGGATCAAAACTGCGTCCAATGTATTCCAATGGTATTTTGGGCTCTAGTTCACACCGCAGCGTTCAGTTCCAGAGCATTATAAAAAAAACTGCAGCAAGCCCTATTTTACCTGATCTGGAACGCACTGAAAGCCCATTTTAAATCATTTTTTTTTTTAAACAAAAAACGGCCCGGGAACACATCAAAACGAGTCACAACCCACTGCACTGCGTGTGCAGAAACTCATGCAGATCTGGTCTGCATCTGGTGTGAACAAGGCCTAAGTTACAGAACAATTCAATAGGCCCAAACCTACATAAACGTAACTAAAGCCCCGCACTCTGTTTTACAAACACAAATCTATTGCCATCATTTACTGAATGTCTAATTCAGTAATGCAAATATATATGCAATAATGTGCCGAGCCAAAGAAACAATCAAATATAAACAGTGAAATATACAACGATTTATAGGCTGAACTCAAAGCACAAAACATACACTGTGAGCTAAAGTCCAAAATGAATCAAACGATGCGGTACAGATAATAAATCCACTGAGTAGGTCTCAAGTGCGTTTTCCCTTCTTAAAGGTGGCCATACACTTTACAACATTTTTTTTTTAAGTACTTTACAACTCTCGCAAGACAGAAGTCTTGCGAGGGTTGTAAAGTACTTAAAAAAAAATGTACGATCTGACCATCTTGGACAGGCAGATAGTACTTGCGATCATCGGACGGTTCCCGGCGGGTTTTCCAGCCTGCTTGTTCGACGGAAGACGTGCGACCGTACAGTAGAAAAGGTTGCACGCCTTCCATACACTGCACGATTATTTCCCGCGATTCTCGTACGAGAATCGTGCAGTGTATGGGCACCTCAAGAGGGGGAAGGAAAACGTGCTTGAGACCTACTCTGTGGGTCCACAGACCCAGGAGAGCACTCCTTTGTAACTTGTGCATTCACTTGGTGGAGGTGAAGGATTATCAGTCTTGTCCTGCACACTATGAAGTCGGCTTCGGAGGACTGCTCATGTTGTTTTGGATTCATTATGTACACCGCAGATATATTATCAGATATCATTTTAGTGCTTAGTACCTCTTTCTCACCTTTCTTTTGGCATCACTGGCGCAGATCTTTTTTTGTTTATGTAATATTACAAGCCGTAGTAATCCATATAAAACGTGAGCTGTGGTTCACATCGTTTCATGACTTCCAACAAGCTGTAGCTGATGTATACCAGGATTGGAACCATTGATATGGAATGTAGGAGCCAGTCTGTCCAACCCAGGAGTCGGCAGAAAGTTGATTTTTCCAATCGACTATTGTCGAAGGATCCGCGTGGAACATTGTCAGCCGAACAGACTGCAGCCAATCGGCGAGTATTCCATCATATGCCACCATTCAATGGCCGGCAGGGAAGATTCCTCCATCCATGCTCCTAAAGTAACATTGAGGGGACACCATAATTGTATGATTGACACTAATATTCTGCAAATTGCTGCTCTTAGGCTGGGCTCACGCCTAGACGACAGCATTTTTGCGCGTTTCCACACACGTTTTTGCACGTGTTTTATGCGTATAAATCAGTTGTGAGCAGATTGTATCTCATTGATGTGCGTAAAACACGCATTTTCTATTAGGCCTATGGGGCTAAAAAACCTGCTTTTTTTGTGTGTGATTTTCTTGGACCCTCCAAGTTATCTAGCTTTTCATTGGCTAAAACAAAGACACTCAAGATTGTAAATGCCTGAACAATATGCAAGTTTGCCTGACGCTGCTTACAGAAAAAGTGTGAATGGGGGCTTAATGTGCCATTAAAGTAAACTTGTCCCAGCCGCGCTCTGCCATCACTGCATCTGCGGTACATGCCGCCCCTGTCCCCACTGAGCCCCCATAAAATTGCTGGCACTTTGAGTGTGGCACGTCCGTGTATACAAATGTTCCTTCTACTGGAAAAACGATTGTCACGTTCCTCACCTTAATCTCGGTGGGCAACGATGGGCCTGGGACCAGTGAGCAAGACCCTTCTTTGTTTGACCCTTACCATACTAGCAGAGCCATCTTTGTATCCAAGTGCTTATCTGAAGTAGTTTTAAAGAAGAACTCTGGGCAAATAAAATCTTAACCCTTGCAGTGGGGCTACTATAGAGAGTTAAACTTACCTGAACCATGATCCTGGCGGGCTCCTATAAGTTCATTCCCCTCCACTGCAGCAGTCTAAGGTCCTGTGAGTCATCGTGCCAAATACAGTGTATTGGACATAAGGACAGCGGGGGACATTCCATTGCTGGAGAGAGGCTGAAAGGAGCGATCTAGGGGCCAGCCAGGATGGTGGTGCAGCTGAATCTGTTATTGCAGGGCTCGCCCCACTACAAGGGTGACTATTTTATTTGCCTGGAATTCTTTAAGCAGTCCCAGACTGGAAGTGACATTTTACATTCTTG